CCGGCTGAAAGTATAGAAAAACACAAACTTTCGACTGTCTTAACTACGGCCTTCGACGAGCGACATGTTATACGGGCGCTAAAAATTCTAAAATGTTGTGTGATCACATACAATAGAATAAAATACAATCTAACCCCCACTAACAGCCACCTCTCTACAACTGCCACTTTTTTAAGTCATGGCGTAATGTCCATACATTCACTGTTATTTTAACCTCTCTACAACGGCCACCTCTCCATAACGGCAACGGCCTTTAAATCTCGTCCCAAATACCAAAATAATCTCTCGACAACGGCCAATTAATCAATTACGGTGAAGAACGGTGTATACAAAAGCACGCTTTTTATTGGAATAGGTCACCAAACTTGATCCCTACTACACGTCGTTGGTCTTCGTTTCTATTTCATTTTGTTTTCTTGATATTCTTTGATTTTGCCACGTATTTATAGGCTAAATATAAGCATTTTTAAAAATATAAATGTTGTACCCAAGAAAAGAACAGGTGTCATATAACTACACTCCAACCTCCCCATAACGGCCACTTCCGGCTACAACGGCTATCTTCCTCTGTTCCCAAGATGGCCGTTGTAGAGAGGTTCGACTGTACAACAGAATATAATACAATGTTGCTACCGCACTGATCAAACATTACTTACACTACTTGCTAGGTTGTCTCGGAATTCCTTAAAGATGCTTTCGTAATCTTCAAACTTGGTAATCTCTTCTGGATTTTGTGCTTTCCAATGTTTTGTGAAATTTTTGTTTCTCCGCAGCATGCCAGTGTAACCATGGAACTGTGCTTGGGTAAACTCATCCTGGCTCTGCACAGCTACTAGTTGTTGTATGCTCATGTTAACCAATGGCATCGGCAAAGGGGGACGTATCGCAAGCTGGTAGATTCCCTTCTGGACTGCCAGTCCGTTTTCGCGAAGAATTTTGCAGTTTCCTGAGGAAGCCTGTGGAAGACTTGTGGGGCAGTTGGATCCATCTGCAAGTCGTACACAACAAAATCAATGTTAATATTGTCAGAATCCTTCACATGCTAGCATAAAGGTGAGATTTTGTGCCGGAGGAATTTGAAAACGGAGGTTTCACTCTTAAAACGTCTTCCGTCCACATTACAGAGAACGTTGAAAACGGAGAAATACTACTGACAGTGCTACGGAGAAATTTGAAAACGCAACAATCACCTATCATTTTTGATTTGTGTTTGAGTAAAATTCGGCAGTGAAATATCACGGGTATCGTGACCTCATCATTTACGAAAAGCTTCGTTTTCAAAATGTTTTCTGTCCACACGAAAACGCAATGTCCGTGTTTTCGAAAGCTCCGTTTTCGTGACGAATTAGCGTGGATGAAAGGCCGAACAGAAGAAATAAAGCTACATTTCCAAATTCTTCCGGTTTCAAGAGTGTTTTCGAAAAGCTTTGTTTTCGTAACGGATTAGTGTCGACGGTAGGCCTAATCGTAGAAATAAAGCTGCGGTTTCAAATTTCCCCAGGCTGGTGTGGAAGGGGCCTGAGTATACTGCATCTGGTTGCCATCTGACATTCATTTTCAGCGGGAGTTTTTGCGTTTTAAGAAATTTTGGAATTTTCAAGGTCTTATGTTTCGGAAATGGAATTACCGATTTCTTCTCGCTAGATGAAATCTTAGCTTTGGATTTTTTAAAACTGTGAAAATAAAAATCACTGTATCTACCTTATTATTACAAAGAAAAGTTGTCGAGTACATCTATTGAACACCGGTCTATCGCACAATNTGTGCCGGAGGAATTTGAAAACGGAGGTTTCACTCTTAAAACGTCTTCCGTCCACATTACAGAGAACGTTAAAAACGGAGAAATACTACAGTGCTACGGAGAAATTTGAAAACGCAACAATCACCGGTCATTTTTGATTTGTGTTTGAGGAAAACTCGGCAGTGAAATATCACGAGAATCGTGACCTCATCGTTCACGAAAACCTTCGTTTTCAAAGAGTTTTCTGTTAAAAAATTGACAGTTTGACAGCTGAAAGTTGAACTTGAAAGTTTGCATGAATTAAAATTTTATCTGTCTGTACTCTTATTGATGATAAAAATGAGCCAATCAGCGTGCGAGAAATTAAACAGTTAAGGCGTTTTCGAAAAGCTTTGTTTTCGTGACGGATTAGTGTGGACGGTAGACCCAATCGTAGAAATAAAGCTGCGTTTTCAAATTTCTCCGGCCTAGTGTGGAAGGGGCCTGAGTATACTGTATCTGGTTGCCATCTGACATTCATTTTCAGCGGGAGTTTTTGCGTTTTAGGAAATTTTGGAATTTTCATGGTCTTATGTTTCGGAAATGGAATTACCAATTTCTTCTCGATAGATGAAATCTTAGCTTTGGATTTTAAACTGTGAAAATAAAAATCACAGTATCTACCTTATTATTACAAAGAAAAGTTGTCGAGTACATCTATTGAACACCGGTCTATCGCACAAT